CTAGTGAAATATTTCCTCTAACACTTTGCACGAAGACATCCTCATCATCCGACTCAATGATGATTGAGAATAACGAGGACTAACCGAGGATGGAAAGAGATTCATTAAGGTCCAATAGACTGTTGCTTTGATTTGGTGAACATATAGTCGAAAATAAATTTTGAGTTAGATCAATCGTTGTATCTAATCTCCACAATGTGACATACAAAAGTACTAGAGCTTTTTCACTATAAATTGGAACAATGAATTTTAAAATAGAACTATCAACTCGTTGCTATTAATAATCAACTTTTTTGAGAGAATATGCCTAAACTCGACCATGATTATAATACACAACTAATAATAGTTACATAAACAAGCTACACAACAGGCTAAAACAATTATATTTTCACAAACTACAAAATAAACAACACATATATGAAAATAAGTTATACAATATTTTCTATCATCAAAGTACAAATATTAGATACTTGAGTTTCATGCCCTACAAAGTTCCACTATTTTCAATCATTTAAAAGGGAACAATAATGTTTACTGTTGACCTCGCGAATTGGACCTCTCACGTGGCCAACCGATAGATACTCTACAAAATCCTCTCTGCACACAATCAACGAACGGTCGGAACCAGTGAAAGTGATGGTGGCCGCATACACTCCCACGGTCAAGTTAGTATCCGGTGATCGGAACAGTGCCCGGGTTGTGCAAGAAAGTGGGGAGAAGAATATATATTTTCTTGTTATGGAGAGATAAGTTGTAAGAGTTTTATTATCTTTGCCTCTTGTCAAACCTTGGGTATTTATAGGTGAGGAGAACCGTTGGATGTGGGACACGTGTATGCATCTGACAGTGTGAGACGTCTGCTCATAGGCGTCAATCAACCGCGTCTATAGAGTGAGCGGGTAATAACTTCTTCTGAATTGAGTTGACATAAAGTTGATACGTCACATCAACTAGACCCATGAAGGCGTCAAATCAATTCAGCCTTGGGGGCAGAGAGGATCTTGACACGGATCTCTTTCTGAAAGTGGCGGCCGATCCGTTAAATAAGAACCTTGGAGTGCATTGCGCTTCGGTTTCAAGGACACTTCGATCGGTTTAGTAGAATTGTTTTGTGCCTTGCAGCGTGTTAGCAGCGCGCGGACATTAGTGGTGGAGTCATTTCGGAACCACTTCAGATTGGTGGTGGACACCTCGTATGATGCAATGGTAGACTTTGCGAAGTGGTTCAACTAAGGGCGTAACATTTTCCATTCAACAAATTTCAATTATTTCATGTTTTTTCTTTCTTCCTGTCACCGTTGTCCATCTATGCAAAAATAAAATATCTATTATTAGGAAAAATTGCTACGAACCCGAGACAAGAATTTTGAAAGTCCATTTACTGACCCAAATCGAATTTGTGAAGAATCATCTTGATGAACTTCAAATTATTGTGCTAAAATATGTGCGCACGTAGATGTTCCTCCTTCGTAAAAAAAAAAATTAAAATTGATCTGCAAAAATCAATAACATGAACAAGTACCAAAGGTTAGATTATGACATGTAATACATTTACCACGTAACACACATAGAAGAGTAGCTTAAACAAGTTTGACATTGTATCATAACTGTCGAAAAACAACAAATTGTCGAGAATTTTAGAACATAGCTGTCAAGAATGACGGTTTATCTCAACAGATGGGTTCCATAAAAACTATATTTGAACTCCTCATATGTTCACATGCATCAAATGTTTGAATCCTTAAATTGAACTACATTGCACCAAATTTTAAAAATATATCAACTCACAAATTCAATCTACATTTAAATTAAACTCAAAAATTTCATCCGAACAACACGTGAACGACCATAAATCGATTCAACAAATCACTGTTAGTAAAAGATTGAAAAAAAAAAAAAAAGATCCTAACATATGCATAGCTCCTAGTCATACAAAATTGAACCAATGACTTGATAAAAAATATCAAAATCTTTAGATAAATTAACAAGCTTACAAATAAATGTAACTAAACTGATTTAAAAATTAAAAAAATGACACTAACTTAATTAAAACTTAAAGTCACATTTATAACACAATTCAACAAGAATTCAGTTTAGCGATAACCTTCAAAACAATAATGTATTTGGAAAGAAATCTTTTACAAAACTTCCAACTAAGTAAAATTGTGGAAATCATACAACCAAACTAAACAAGAGCATACTAAATTTTTTTACATGCTTACTTCTAAATGCAGCCTAAAATGTAGTCTACTAAATAAAAGTGCACTACATTTTCCTCCTAAGCACATATGCTATTAGATATTAAGTAATCATAGTTAGAAATCTAAATGAACAAAACTAGTTCAAAGAATAGAAATACCAAATAAAATAGGAACAAATCTAGATTTCTATAAACCAAGAAATCAAATAAACTAAAAAATTCTACCCAACATTACATAGGAAATGCTTGAAAATCTCAATTGTTTAGGAAGTTAAATATAGTAACTCTTTAAATAAAAACCCTACATAAGAATTTTTTTTTCCCAACTTCAAGTCACAACCAACCATAACGCAAATAAAGCAAAAATTATTTAAAACATTTAAATCTAAAAAAAATGAAAATGATATTTATTTCGATTTGAAGTAGAAGCCAAATACGAAACGTCAGAGAATGAACTTGAAATGTACTCCTACTGGGTGTGGATTATCGATTGTGAGATGGAGAAGTGGTTACTGTCAAGCGAAAAGTCTTCAAATTCAAATTGATGTGTGCATCTTCTTCCCCATTATGCGTGAAGTGGTTTAGAAAGTGGGATTACGATGTAAAGTCTGGCTTACGTATAAAATTGGGAAATGGGTTTAAAAAGTTAGCGTAGGTAGAGTGGGATTGGAGCGGGTTTGATGAGATATTTTTCCGCTTTTTGTATAATATTTTCATCTAATGAAATCAACTTACTTTCGTTTGGTATTCATTTTTTCAAAATTTATTTTTATCTCTGTTATTTTCAATCACATATTCTTTATTAAAATAATATTACACATAAATCAAAATTTTTTTCTTATTTTTCAACCGCACACTTTTCAAAAAATTACTATTCAAAAATGTATTTTTACATTTGTATGCCTATCAAACACAATAAGGACATACAAGGTACTTAAATTTGTTAGAAGGGCAAAAAAGTTTAAAAGTAACATTCTTACAAAGGTTTTTAGAATAATACAAGTAAATCCAACATTTTCACAGACGGAATTCAGGGCCAAGAATTAGTAAACATGTCGAAGGGGTTCCATGCCATTCAGACATTTGGGAGTTCCATTAGTTGCAGGAAAATTAAAAGTCATCCACTATGCCCCTTTCTTTGATAGGATAGCTGCATATATACATGCCTGGACAAGCTCATCATTATCTTATGCGAGCAGGGCTAAACTAATAAGATCAATCTCACAAGGTGTCGAATGCTTCTAGTTATCTATATTCCCAATACCCACTGCAGTCACTATGAGGATCACACGGCTTTGTAGGAATTTCCTTTGGAATTCCAAAAAATCGCTTGTTGCTTGGTCTGAAGTTTGCCTCCCCAAAAATGAGGGTGGACTTGGATTTCGAGATATAAAGTGCTGGAATAATGCACTATTAGCCAAGTCGTTGTGGAACGTGCATGCCAAAAAGGACACACTTTGGGTGCGATGGATCAATCACGTGTACTTGGGAGGAACATCAATATGGGAAAGGTCACCCAAAAAGGATGACTCGGCACTTTTTAAAAAGATATTGTCCATTGCAGTATGCATGAAGGACTGAATGATCAATCCGTGCTGCCTACCAAAGAATTTCAAGTTAGATTCAAGGATACAATATATGCATTTCTAAAGCTTATAATTATTTTTGATCGAAGGGGACGCCAACTATCTGGACAAAGACTGTTTGGAGTTCATGCATCACCCCTGAACATTCTTTCATACTTTGGCTTAGTGCGAAAGCCAAGCTCTCTACCAAAGACCGATTACAGCACATAGAGATCGACCACAGATGCATATTTTGTCAAGTTACAACAGAATCAGTCTAGCATCTTTTCTTCCAATACCGCATGAGCAAAGAAATCTGGGGACAAGTAAAACATGGCTCGGAATCACTAGAGCCATGACTACATTATCGAGTGCTCTGAAATGGATCAAGAAGGAGGGACAAGGAACATCTTGGCAATTTAAAGCCAAGAAAGTAGCGCTTGCAAGCACTGTTTATCATATCTGGATAGCCATAAACAAGCTACTCTTCGAAGATCTCAGGCAGCAACCGGATAGCATCATCAGACGCATTAAAACACATGTCTACAACGTCATGTTTACTTTGTATCCCTATGTTTTGCATCATTATGAATCTTTAGCACCGGGCATATAGGTTGATACTCAAGATGTGCATTGTCGAATAATGTAAGCCCGGGAATGCCCGGAGTACTTGTATTGAAATTTTGATCAATGAATTTTTACATTTACCGATCCAAAAAAAAAATGTGACATTTTTTAAAATGTCAAACTAAAAAGTGATATGGAGTGCAATTTCCTCTTAATAATAGTAGAGAACACGTTTTGGAAAGTCAAGTCACAGTCTTTTCAGGTGAACTAGGAGTTAACTACAGAACATAGACTTTAAGCATTACTATAAACTTTGATTATACTTAAAATATATTTCTTGAAAAGAAAAACTCGGTCAATTTTGTTTCAAAGAAATTACAATGAAAATGAGTAATGGATCTCTTATGATCCCATAAGAGGGTAAGAATTTTAGAAGTGTAATTGTTTCAATGTTTGACATTGACCGCAAATTATAATGAAATTAAAACTTCTAACAAACAAACACTTAACTATGTAAAATCAATTCAACGTGACAAACATTGCAGGATGAGAAACAGCTTATGCGACAAACTTAAGTGGATGTATGAGAAGTGATGAAATTAAAATTTAATTGATTATAAGTTGTGAGTTTTATTAAATGTGGGGATATTAAATGGGTAGTAGTTATGGATCTTAAAAATAACATTAAATGCAGTTTTCTGTATCATAATTTGCATAGTGAGACAGGGCTTATTATTAACAAACACAAACAAGTTGCTTGTGAACATCTTACATACTGTTTTAGGCCTTCTACAACAAAAACAGGCAAGACCTCCCTGGTGCTACCACAGCCATTCCTCTTGCTGTCATTAGACTTTGCTCGTGTGTTCTGGTCTGTGAGTAAACTCGAAGTCTATGTGAACGAAAGCACGTTCGACTTCAGGAAGTTGCTCGAGCTTTTCTTGTAACGTTTCTCCAATATTATGTGCTTGGTTCAAAAACATATCTTCGGGCAATACAATGTCAACCTCTACAAAGTAATGAGAACCAAAAGTATATGCTCTGACTGTGTCAATATGCTGTATCTCTTTGTGGTGGTTCCATATAAGATATGTTAGCTTTGCTAGAAAATCTGGTGGTGCAGTTCTTCCAATCAGTGACCAAACATTTTCGACAACTGTTTTTGCCCACGTATTGATTGTATATAGTGCTATCTGTGACACAGAAGGAATTATGTCACGAGACTAAGCCCCTGTTTGTTGGCCATTATAAAGAGAAATTGGAGGACATTGATGTTTTGAATAGTAATTTTTTGAAAAATAAGTAAGAAAAATAAAGAGTTTTAATTTAAAGAAAGTCAAATAGAGGCAATCAAGTTTCACATTGCCTGTCGTAAGCACTAAAAAACATGGCGATGGACTTACAATTATAGCCCCGGTAGGATCAATCCACCAATAGAACCGCACTGCTAAAATAGCCGTCACTAATCCAATTGAGTTGGTAATGACGTCGAAAAAGTGATCTTGAGCATAGGCCCTAACAATTTCATTCTTGAATCTACGGCAATAGATCATAAGCAGAAACTTCACCACAGTTACAGAGGACATGATCCCTATCGTCCATTTCTCCTTCTCACGGTCCATATCTGGATGAGACTGCCAGACAGAGAGAAAATTGGGTATCGTCCATGTACTAATTCGAACGCGTAACGAATATGATTAAAGCCGCGTACCTTTACAATGAATTCACGAACAGACTCCAGCAATATTTGCAATCCTAGAGTTGCCATTACTGATGCAAAAACAATAATTCCCTGGAAACATCGAACTTGGTTAGCATGTCATTTAATTTCTCTCAAATGGCTCTATAACATGACTGAATGATAAGTCTGATCGAGTAGCAATAAAATCAAATACAATCATGTTGCAAACTTGTTACTAAAAGATCAGATAATAATTTGTTCACACTCAAGATCAGATCATCATAAGTTTAAGCCTCTTTTTTATGGTAAGAGGAATACGGTGGGATTTACCACAGGTTGCATTCTTTTCTTTCCGATGGGATAGCGATAATGGTTTGGAGTTCTCATGGCATGAGAAGTGAACCAAAGAATAAGTCCCGATAAGAGGTCTAGGAAGGAATCCATGGTTGACGCGATCACAGCCAAAGATCTGCTCTCGATTGATGCATAAACTTTTGCGGCGAAAAGGATAAGATTAGCGAAGTTTGACACGTGAACAGCCATTCTTTCGTTCCTGGCAAGCTGTTTCATTTCATCCTGAAAGATGGTACAGAGAGAGATGTAATGGTAACGAACAAAAATGGAATTACACTCAAAATTCAATAAACTGTCAAGACACGGGACGAGTAGCACGAGCAAGATCATAGGTAATAATATTCGTTTCAGAGAAGGTGTCATTCATAATAATATATAGAAATTAATTAGATTCCAGAATTCCAGATTCTACCTCTGTTAAACTATCTGGGAAACAGCCTTCATTGATCATCTCCATTTCACCGAACCCTTCCAGTAGTCTTTCCTGCTTTTTATAATATTCAGAAACTTTTCGACCTTTCCCTGGGAAATAAAATATATGAGGAACACCAATCAAAGTCATATGGTGTTAAAAAAATGAATTCTGTAAATGTACTGTCTGCGCTATAAAGAAGAAACAGTCGTAAAAATTAAGACACAGAATTTGTCTGAAATTCGTCAAGCTTAATCAGGAAAAAAAAATTAAATAAATTCCAAGAATATTGCTCCAGATTTCCGGCTTTTGATAATACACATAAGGAAAAATTTGATGTGGAGAAACTTTGTGGGATCAAATTAATAAATCATCCCAAAAGAAAAAGAAAATTGAAAAATAAAAATAA